TACCTGTGCTATCCATTTTCTTGTCATGCATTTGTGTGGCTGCTGCAAAGGATTTTGCTGTACACTGGCTGTTAGTGTCAGCAGCTGTCGTGCAGCAAAAGCTACCTTTGACTCTTCTATTACAAGTTCTATAACATGTCTGGAGATGGACTGAGGGAGACAGTTTAGGATCTGTGATATGCTCTTGGCTTGCACATGTAGAGATATATCTTATTATTCTACACCACCAAGTGGCCAGATTGAGCAGATATTTAAAAACACTGCTTAACCCAAGTGGGTCAGGTTATGTCATGGAAGTTCATACTGACCTGAACTAGCAACTAGGAAAAAAACATTTGAATGTAAAGGCTCGTGTTTTGAAAGAAGGAAGTGTTGCATTTTCTGCCACATCCCATAAGGTGTTCCTGAAGGTGCATTGTCAGAACTACTTCAGTTCTCATATCAGAGAGAGCTCCTTGATGGGCTGCACACCTGAAACTCAGGCATGTTTTAAGTATTTCAAATTAGTAAGTCAAAACTGGTGGATGGTTTTGTAAATGTGAAGCAAATATTTCTGTATGTCAATGAAGTGGTTGTGTCAGAAGTTGGACGGGGCTTTGAGCAGACTGGTCTGGTGGAGTGTGTCCCTGCCTATGGCGGGGGGTTGGAACTAGATGATCTTTGGGGTCCCTTCCAATCCAAACCTTTCCAGGACTCCTTTGTTATGTTCTTTGTGATCAGGAGGGTTCAAAGTTGGACCGTTATGTAGTCACTCCAGGGGTACAAATCAGAGCGAGGTCTGTTGCTGGCCAACATTAATTGTCCAAAACCTCAACATGACGTGACAGCTGATCCCAACTGATAACATTACATATCTACATATCTCATTTAACATAGTTTTGAAATTGTAACAGGAGGGAGTGGCCCCTCATTCTGTTTCTGGCAATAACAGTCAATGTATCAAGAAATTCCTTCTTTCAAGGACTTCTGCTTTCTGCTCTTCAGAAAGACCTGTTTGGGAAGGGAATTAATCCTACCCATCCCTACTGTACTCATATAACTTCTTTTTATCTATGGAGTTCCAGTGAACAATGAAGTTCCAGTGAACAATGAAGCAGCTCAGCTTCATTCTCAAGATATATATTATCCCCTTAAACCATTAATAAAAATGCAGTCCTACAGTATGTTCTAGAGTTTTGTATGCTTCATTCCACCTATGATTTTACATTTAGTATTGACGATAATTCAACAATGGGTGCCTAGTTTAGTTGTTACAGATTCCCCTGATGATCTGTATTTAATATTTTATCAGTCTGCAGATTGGACCAATGTTTTCAATGTTCAAGTGGAAAACAAGGTTACAGCTGGTTCTGTAATTAATCTTCAAACTTTTTTAAAAATAGACACAACATGTATTTAGTATATGCAAAAGTGTAAGTAATATTGGGCTAATGCAAGCAAGAAGAGCTAAATGTATACATACAAACAGAAATGGCAAGAGTAATCTGAATTGCGGAGTTACCTGTAAAAGTGACTGTTAATTCAGCTAAACTCTTTGCCTGTTCCCCAGGCAATTCCATCAGGTATAAGAAGAGAAGCTTCAGAGTCAGGCAGTTTGAACTCCATCCCTCTTTTCCTTTTTTGTATTTTTGTCTCAGTTTAGGGAAAGCAAATGTCTCTCTTCTTTATTAGCACACTGCAGGAAATGGAAGCATTGCATTGTACAGTGCACAAAGTTAACACAAATGGCTCTATTTTAAAATAAAGAAGGGCCCTCCAAATAAAGAAGAAAACCTCCAGATAGCCATATCATTGAAGGAAGGTTGGACAGCTTTGCTGAAATGCTGTTACACATGAAGCCATCAAAAAAGACATAAAACTAAGTACGGTGTCTTGAAATATGTGCATGCAATAGGCTTTCACTCTGATGAAGGAGTGAGAAAAAGACGTTAATGATCTCGGTCACTAGCTCTGGATCTTAAATAATAATTTCATAAATAGTATTGCATTAAATAATATATTGCAGAAGTCTCATTTTAGAGTGTACGACAGGCTTACCCTTTGCTTACTGTATGTCTCTGTTACCTGAATTTCTAAGGGCCACATGGATAAGTACTCACCTGGAGTTAGGAACACAGCTAAGTTATGTAGACCTTCCTGTATTTCAGTGGAAGCCAGGCTTTTAACCTACCTAAATATCTCAATCAGGTTTTTGGCTTCTGAGAATTTAGGTGCCTAAATATTTTTCAGTGCCCAGCCCTGTAACCATATTCAGACAGCATAATTTCACCTGTGTCCCTGTGTCTGGAAATTCATAGTTTCCTACTGCATGTGTCACTTTGGTTCTGTGAATTGAGCTTTGGAGGCCTTTAAGGAACACTTTCTGACTTGGGCACATTTGGGGTTGGACACAGGCCATGTACATAGAGCCTTAATGCTTGTGCTTCTTTTGAAAGTGGAATTTTTTAATTGTAAACCCTAAGGTCAGAGTAGCAAGTGTGCTCCCTGATGGACAAGGAACTGAGAAGCAAAACTGGGATGGAGGCATGTGAAAGGTTCAGAGGGGTGTTATGTCCGTGCCTTGCGATTCCTGATGCAATGCATGGCAGTATGGAAGAAAATGAGTAGGGATAAAAGCAGACATTGAAAAACTAAACTCAAATGCTGGAAATATAAGTGTGCTTCTGATTATTTAAATAAGAACAAATTACGGAGGAAGAATAAAGAGGAAAGGCGCTTATCTGGAGTGCAGCAATGCCTGGAGACGTCTGCCACAACCAGAGTGACATTATGCTAAGCATGCTGCAAAGAATTAGCAAAAGGTTGTGCCAGGAGGACTCGCACACCAAATAAGTAAATCAGACAAATATGGTCATCCACACTTTACAGCTGATGCTGAGAAACACAGAAAGATGAAGAAACTTGTCTGAGAAATTATTCCAGATTTGTCCAGGGCTCTGCACATATCTCGTCCTTTGAAAACAGTGCCACAATGGACAAAAGTCTTGGCTACCATCAGGGAGCAGGAGGTCACAAACTGGATGTCATGTTGTGCTGCCAGTGCAATGCATTCTCATGTCACCAGTCTGCAGCCCTGCAGTAGGGATGGAAAAACACACTGCAGATGTCTCTGTATCAACTGATTGCATTCGACCCATGGCAGTGCTCCACAGCAGCAGGCAGAGACAGTCAATGGTCAGGTTAAGGATTTGACAGTTTTAGTCTTTGAAATGACAGCAGTTGAGGTATGACATATCTATAGGATCCCAAATTGTAAATGACCACTTGCAAATGTCCTTTGACTCCAAGACAGACAAGGCTTTAGTGCTTAAGAATTGCTCTAAATTTAGATTGAAAGTTCCTTCTCTCTGACGAGGTGGCTGCAGGATGCCACCATTGCTCATGTACACCATTACAGAGTAGCTGTGCCATTGCCATGGTAGCTGGAAGCTTTGTAGACAACCTTTGGTAGACCAAAGGTACACAATAGCATGACAGATTCATTCAAAGTCTTCCCTCAGTTCTGTGCCGCACAGTTATTTCCCTTTTCCACCTCAAAACATAGTGAAGGTCTTTCGGCAAAACTGTCCCAGGTCAAGCAGGCAAAGCTGGATGCTTTGCTCACCTTCTCTGCTTCATCCACAGGATCCATATGTCATCGCTGGGATTAGACACTGACACCAGTTGGAGTCAGTGAGGGTTTTGCCAATGAATTTCAAAGCAATGAAGATTTCATCCTTTGTTCATCCTGTGCCGGCTGGGCTCATGATGTTCCATTAGAAACCACTCTTTGTTCTAGTGCAGTCAAGAGGATTTTTGCCAATGATTTAAATGAGCATTGGGTAAAGCTTATGGCTAAATCCAGTCCTTTTGAAGAAATCCATGGATCCTACTGAATTGCTTTTCTCCTAGTAAAATTAATGGGAGCTGCATGGGAAAAATCTAAGGGAAGATTTAGTTCCTGTTTGTAACAATATGTTACCCCCTGATACTGGCCTTGCTTTGAAATGTTTATTGTTAAATCTGTGTATTTTTGGTTATGTCTCATTGAGAACATAATACAGCCTTGGAAAGTACATTCTGAAAGGGTACAACAACAGGTTTGGGATTACTGTTTGTAAGACACTTTTAACTAGGGGAAAATTTCAAATTCAATTTATGGCAATGTCAAAGCACAATTAATATATAGGCAATGATAAGGGGAACATGCAGAAGTACACATTGCTAGCACTACATCAACAAATAAACTTTTGGTGCTAGTAATTAGGTACAGAAGATTATTATATGTTTAATTGACTAAGTGACAATTTGGAATTACATCTAGTCACATTTAATTGGATTTGGAATCTCTAGAGGACAGGAAATGAAGAGCAATGTGGAGAGGCAGCCATAAAAGCAAACTGATTTTCTAAAGTCTGTTAAGACTCTACATTAATATCCATTGCACAATAGTATTTTAATATCCCTCAGTCTAAAAAGAGCAATGCAATGATTGTCACAGACAGTGGGAGTACTAAAGCATACTCCATTAGGTAGCAAGATGGCTGATTACTTTTAATTTGTTTTGTTGGGATTTTTTTAAGATATAGTTTAATCAAAGTTGAACTATGAGTTAGCCATAGATAAGTAATAAGCTCAAATGGCCAAGCCGCAGGTTGTTATACATGTTGATGCTGTCCTAAAAGAAATGTACTTGCACATAACATACATCCTCCACAAATACTGTAACGCAAAAAAAAAACCAGACTAGAATATTGTATAGCACTCATTAAATATTTGCTCAGAGTAAAATATGGAAAAGCTATTAAAAGAAAATGTAGGGATGTTTGCTTGCAGATAGTTTAGCTAGCTGAAAAATGTTTACTAATGCTTATGTTACTGAAGTTGCAAAAAGACTGAAAGTTATGTATAATCTTTTGATACAAACCTTGTGTTACACTATTTAAGAATTACCTCCTTTAAATATTGCTATATACATCCTTCCCTCCCTGTACACTCATTTATTCTGCTTTTGTCATCAGGAGCGCCATGATCGCGGACTATATGTACTGGCTGACAGGAGGCACTGAGCAGCATATAAGCAAGCTCATCAAACTGTATTGGCAGGTAAAAATTGATAGCCCAATGAGGAAGGAGGTGCCTATCTTACTGTTAAGACCAAAATGAAGGATTACTGCTTAAAAGACTGCCGACAAAGGTAGCTCTTGGCCATATCAATCAACAGGACACCATATAGTACTACAGTATTTATAATGAAGTAGATCTTCTTGGACTAATTTTAAGGGCAAAATTCAAGGTTGTTAACCCTTGGCTCATACTTCAATTTTATGGACTGCTATAAAATTTAATTCTGGATACTGTATAGTTCCCTGAGCTATTTTTTGTGAAGTCTTCCTACCTTAGTGACACTTTTCTTTTGCAATTTGCATGATACTAATCTTCTGACACCTTTCCAAACTCTTCAACTGGAAGGGGAGTTTAAAATGACTTTAACAAATGGTCTCAGAGAAACCTAAAGTGCTCTGTGAAGGATGGTTAGGTAAGACCCCAGTCCACAAAGATTAGTTACGTGGGGAGTAGACTATTGACTTCAATGAAATTTGTCTCTGGAGCTATTTGAGATGGCTGTTCAGCCCCATCAGCACAAATTTAAGTTTAAGGGTACCCCCTTCTGCACTGAGAAGAGCTCTCCTACAAACCTGGAGGTTAATGGATGCTAGATCCTTTGCTGGGAGACACTTATTGCTGCAGGAGCTTACCACTGCCACTGGTGCCACAGCCTTCACCCCCTAATTTCAGTGTGAACAAGGTGCATTTCAGAGGGAGTGCAGTGTTTGAGCTCCAAGTGGTGAAAATCCCTTCTGTCTCCAAGAGTGAACCTAGCCCTCCGGTCCTTCTTGTCCATACAAGGGATTTAATGATACTAGGAACAATATATGTCCCTAGTAACAAAATTTCAGTCTGATTCTGATCCCATTTGTGGGTTTGTTCTGTGAGAACATCTGTGACATCTGTACTTTATGTGAAGTGGTGCAAAATATGTCTGACATGAGCCAGGGTAATAAAGATCAGAATCTGGTATTTTATCTTCACTTCCACAGTAAATTCTTCCTTTATAAAACTATTCTTAGTTGCATTCTTATTGGTAAAATTGAATAAATCTCAGTCCTGGGAGCTGCTGAATTTCACTACTGCTGTGAGTGCAAAGTGCATCTCATTCAGAGAATTACCCACTGGGCTAGTGTTTGCAGTGCCTGTGAACTTTCTTATTTGCTTTCCAGCAGAGAATCTCTTCTGTACAGAACAGTTTGATTTTTTTTCCCACTGGGTCAGACTCATTTAAAATCTTGAGTTCACAAACAAGTTTCATGAAGGGGTCATTTCTTCAAATGGAATGTCTTTTTTTGTCTCTTAACACTCATATCCATTGACTTCCCTTCTTGATGTCATGGACATGAAGCTTCAAAGAATAAACCTTTAAAGGAGGAGCTGTCATAGCTGTCCTCTCCTTCAGGGGTTCAGACTCTCCTGCTAGGTAACAGGGCCCACAAATTGGCATGAAGGACAAGATTTATCACAGTGTCTCCCCATAGAGTCTAAACCAGAAGCTGTGGTTGGGCTGAGATCAGAACAAACCAGAACTGAAGTGGAGCTACTGAATCGCTTCCAGCCATTCCTACCATATTCCTAGATAGCAAGGGCCAAAGGATTTTGGCAGTGGTAGGACTCTGGTTCATCTCTGCTTCACTCCAGAGCTTGTGTGTTGAGAGTTAATATGAAGGCCTCCCTGGACCCCATAGTCCCTAGAGGCTCCACCATGCTGTTTGTGCCCCATTCCCTCTCCTTCTCTGCCTTTCTCTTGAACCTAAGTTGCTGTCATCTTTCTCTGCAGAAGCTTTGAAATGTCAGCAGAGATCTAACCATTTGTTTGATCCCCCACCGTGCTTGATTTTCACTGGGAGACCGAGATTGCTCTGCAATTTTGTGCCTTTTGTGCATATGCCTTAGCGTGGGCTCAACTAAGGAGTCAGCGGTATCTATATGCTGACACACACGCAGTGGAGGCAGCTGGGTGCCCAGTACCGCTCCCACTCAAGTTAATAGCTAGCACTTAAGAAATGCTGTTCATGAAGATATATCCCCAGCACCAGTAGCAACTTTTTCCTTCCCAAGCTGATGAGTTCTGTGCACTCAGCATCAGGGGTGACTTCAATGTCATTAGATCACACAGCAACAATTATGCAGGATGATGTAGCATGTGACACTGCACTGGGACTTTCCACCACAGAGAGACCAAGCAGAAGTCACATAATCTTTTTTATAAATATTCTCTCTATTTCACGGTGTAAAGCTGAAAATAGCTTGTCACAACTATACATGCTCATGTGCCTTTGTAACCAAAGCAACAGCTATTGATGCACGCTTTTCTTGCTAGCTACTCCTCTGCCCCAGAGCTCGCTAGCGTTGGCTCACAACCGTGAGCAAAATTTTCTGAGGAAGAAGGGAATAGGCAGTGAACAGGATGGTTTCTTTTTTACTTTTCTGAAAAAAAAAAGATTTTTAGATTAGATATGTCACTTTATGCTTTGATCAATGGGTCATGTATCTAATCTTCTGGTGTGTCATTGACTACTTTTGTTTCTTCTTTTCATGATTCTTTTAACTGCTGGAAAAGGCTTTTCCTCCTCACAGCCTGCCTTCTACTTCTTTCATGGCTTCAAAACATTGAAAGACCACTCGAATCCTGCAGCTGACGTCTTTACTGCAAAAAAATCATGCCTTTAATTCACATCTGCAAAGCTCCTTATTATTTATCCTACTTCTAAATCACTGGTTTTTTCCTCCTGATCTATTCCTCATGCTCAGAGCCATCTTTATCTTGTATCTCCTTTGGTTTTCCTCTCCTGATTTTAGTTTGATACTTCCTTTTGAACTTCCTCTATCCTTGACATCTACTGCTAGAAGTCCTCTTTCTTCACAGTTCTTTATAAAACATCCTTCAGTTGCTCTCCTACTCATTATTAACTTTTGCATATTTCTTCTTCAGCAGCAGTAGTCTGTTCCATGTGACTGTATACCTCCTCTCATGCAAACTGCAAGGTTCAGACTGCCAGATTTTTAAGGCCAGATGGACTCATATTGATGAATTAATTACCTGACTTCGTGCATGAAAACACAACAGAATTGCACCCTTACCTTCCTACATTGGTGCCAAAAGAAGAAAGCAGAGTCTGATTTTGAAAAAGTTACCCAATCTCCATTTAAACAGTTTAATAATGGACTATTTAACATAGCCCATTTCATAAGTGATATGTTTATTATTGCCTCCTTTTCTTTCCCAGTTTACAAACTGGGATCTTACACATCCAGTCCAAACTTCCAACAATTTATATTAAGCATTCTTCTCTGAAAGCTTAAAGAACCTTTAGTACTTGTAATCTTCTCCCTGTACATGCACCTATGGATCATGATCAAGGCAACTTTAAATATTCTTTTTGATTAGCTTTTTGATTAGCTTTCTTTGATTATCCCCTTTAAAGTAAATCATCTATTTCTGGATCTTCTGTACAGTGATATGTAATGTCTAATGCCCTATGTTGGTTTTGAATATTAATACCCACCTTCCATTCCAGTCTGAGATAAAGGTATAATACTGATGAGAAGTGAAAAAGTAATTTGCATTGGATAATATTATTCTGTAAGTTGGGCCTTTTTTTCTGTTTAAATATTTTATTCCATGGATTGAAAATATACATTCTAAGTTAATGTATGATCAAATGTATGGGCTTTTTTTTCAAATCCACTACAGAATATGCTCTGGATGATTTGTGTATTGGCTGTTAGGTTAAAAATAAGTGACTTAAATAGAATTCATCACAATAAATAATAATGTGAAAGTTATTAAATGCATTATGGTTGATACCTTCAAAGCAGCAGCAGCAAGACAAAGTTTAAACTTACTTTTTTATTAGTGAAGTAAGGTCCCTAGCATTTATTGTCAGCAATGTAATTTCTTAGCTGGTAATATTAAAGCAAACAATAGTCTTGAGATATTTCATCCCATAGAAAAAGTCCTTCTCCAAACTGTACAGTTTTACTCACACTTTTGTAAGTCCTCTTTCTTTTAGCCGTTATTTCTAATGGCTAAAAACTGCAATATAAGCTGAATGGTTTATTCCATGAGTAAAAATACATCACACGGATACCACAGTGTCAAAAATTACCAACGTTCTCAAACTTGAACTTTGCAAAGATCTGTAAAGTCACAGCCTGACTTCACCTGTATCTGGCACTGACATCTTAGTGTATAGTGCCTTTATTATCGAATTTATAAATATCTTAGACTTAACTCACTACTACAAATTTAATTGCTCTTATTATTCCATTGTTAAAACCATGTGGCCTACTTCATATTAAAGGTTCAGCTCTAGCATCTGCTATACACTTCCAACCAAAGTCAATCCCATCTAGCCTAAGTCTTCTACTAAGTGCCATTGCACCAGCAATGCACACTTAGTGCAGAAACTAACAGAACCCCAGGAAGGCATTTCAAAGCTTGTAGGTTCATATCTGTAAGCTTCCATAACCACCTGTACTAAAAGACTTAATTCCATAACGTAGCCAATGTGTATTTGCTACAGCTCAAATGGTGACCTTTTAGCTTTAGTTCCTGTTCAATCCCAGCATTTTGGCCAAGATTGCAGCCATCACAGAGCTGCTTCTAGCACTTAGAAAGTACTGGCTCTGTGACTGCCGCACATGGAGCTTGCAAACTTGTGTGTTTGAGAACATTTCTGTCAGCTAAACTCAGTGTCACAGAGAAAGCTTCCAGCAACACATGCATTGGCTGACATGGAGGTTTGGGTATTCAGACATTTGTTTTGCTGTCTCGATGCTGTTGTGAACATCAGGTGCTTCCATTTCAAAAACCTTTGCTGTTGCAAGCACAGAGAAATACACACATCACACAATAAACCAAATGATAACCCAACCCTGCAAGGTGGCTGAACACCTACAGTGCAGCGATGAATGCTGTCAGCTCCTTTAGAACTCAGCTTTATCTCACACCTTGTGGAGTGACAAGCCAAATCAGGAAACTTAAAAGG